TTCAGAACAGTATTTTGGCAATTGCATGCATGGAACCAAATACCACCACTGAAATCCTGGGTGCTTCCATTTTCATTTCTTTGCGTAAGATTTCATTGTTTTTACATTATTTTTGTATGGGTTCAAATACTTAGATATGAAGTTCAAGGATTAACTTCATAGCTCTACATTGATGTCTCACTCCCACACCCACCTGCAGGATTTCAGTATCATCTCATCGCCAAAATGACTCCTTTACTCAACCTCTCCTGTCACCCTCTCAGAGTCACCAGTTTTGTACTTTTAACTCATTTTTATCTCAAGAAGACCAAAGGAGCTGTTTAATATTGAATAAAAATAAATCAGCAGATGTTTTTCACCTTGTCTTGTCAGTTATACCCAAGTCAGAGTAGAAGTAAGCATTTGTGCTTAAACTGCAAGTAATTCATGAAAAAACATCTTGCCAGTAATCAATCTCCATGGGGCCATAGTGATAGTGCAGTAGGCATGGTACTTGGTTTGCATGTGACTAGCCCAGATTCCAGTACCAGAATCCCGTGTAGTGTTCTGAATAACTCCAGGAGTAATTTCTGTATACATAACCAGGAGTAACCCCTGACCACCACTGGGTATGGCACAAAAGGGAACCAAAAAAATTATCAATATCCTACCCCCTTCTCCAGAGAGTCTATATATCAATGCATACTAAAAAAATTACAAATATTATCTCTCTTCTACTCTTTCATATATAACAGAATTCAATAAATAATGAAGTCTCTCGTTGAGCTCCACTGTCTCCCCTCTCAATTGCTTAGGAGCATTACTCCATATTAAAATGATGAAAATTCAATGATTTTTTAAAATTATCATCATAAACAATATCCTTTTAACATTAGCAGATGCCCACTAAAGTCTTTTGCGTCTTAGAAGACAGAAATAATCACTGTGAATGCTTAATAAATATACTCAAACAAACAAACCAAAAAACTTTCCAAATTAGGAATAATGATGCTTTTTTTTTCCCCTTTATTTTATTTTATTTTATTTATTTTAAAGTTGTAGATTTACAATTTTTTGTGCTTTGGTTTCAATTATACAATGATCAGATACCCATCCCTCCACCAGTGCCCATTTTCCACCACCATGGATAATATCCCTCCCACCCCCATCCCCCCATCCCCCCTGTCTCTGTGGCAGGGCAATCCCCTGTGTTCTCTCTCTCCTTTTGGGTGTTGTGGTCTGCAAAAGAGGCATTGAGTGGCAAACATGTTCAGTCCATAGTCTACTTTCCACATGCATCTCCCCTCCTGGGAGGATCCTCCAAACATCCTTTATTTGGTGCTCCCTTCTCTATCTGAACAGCCCTTTCCTCTACAGAATGGGAAAGGATATTCACCGAATACACATCTGACAAGGGGTTGATATCCAGGATATACAAAATACTGGTTAAACTCCACAAGAAGAAAACATCCAACCCCATCCAAAAATGGGGCAATGAAATGAACAGAAACTTTCTCAAAGAAGAAATCCGAATGGCAAAAAAGCACATGAGAAAATGCTCTACATCATTAATCATCAGGGAGATGCAGATCAAAACCACAATGAGATACCATCTCACACCTCAGAGACTGGCCCACATTCAAAAGAACAAAAGCAACCGATGCTGGCGTGGATGTGGCGAGAAAGGGACACTCCTTCACTGTTGGTGGGAATGTCCACTGGTTCAGCCCTTCTGGAAAACAGTATGGACGATTCTCAAAAAATTAGAAATTGAGCTCCCATTTGACCCAGCAATACCACTCCTGGGAATATATCCCAGAGAGGCAAAAATGTATAGTCGAAGTGACATCTGCACTTGTTTGTTCATTGCAGCACTCTTTACAATAGCCAGAAACTGGAAGAAACCTGAATGCCCAAGAACAGATGACTGGTTAAAGAAACTTTGGTACATCTACACAATGGAGTACTATGTAGCTCTTAGAAAAGATGAAGTCATGAAATTTACATACAAGTGGTACAATATGGAAAGTATCATGCTAAGCGAAATGAGTCAGAAAGAGAGGGATAGACATAGAAAGATTGCATTCATCTGGGGGATATAAAGTAACAAAGTATGAGATTAATACCCAAGAATAGCTGAGATCAGCACCAGGAGGATTACTCCATAATGATGCTTTTTCTAGGCATGTCTCTTCTGGTTACAGTTCCATTTGATGACTTTTATTTTTTTGCATGTGGCTCAATTCTCCATTGCTATAAAACTTCCCCCTCATTCATTTTTTGTTTCCTTGTTGAAAAATATTCATAACACCCCACTGTAACCCTGAACATTTTAGGCTTTGGGACACACCAATGAGCATAAAAAGAAAGCTCCCTGTTTTCTAACAGCTCACACATGGACTTTAATAGACCAGGCACTACAAGGTCATATTACTTCAACTCTGTCGCTTCTTTGCATGTCAGTGAGTCATTCTCAGACACTGAGATGTCACATCTTTCATGTCTAGATTTCTAGAGTTGTCACAGACTTCATGTGCTGAAGAGAGGGAGGGTCAGAACACAAAAAGTCTTGACTCAGAGTTCTGCTGCTGTCCCTCACAACCTGCCCTGAATTCTCCCCTCTGGACACTATGCATTGGGACATGACCTAGGAAGCTAGTGGGAAAATTCAGGACGTTAGAATACTTCAGTTTGTTTTGTCAAAAGTTGTGATTCAGTAGAGAAATCCCAGGTTTTAATCAGAAAGGTCAGGCAGAATTCAAATATGGGATGTCAAAGCTGTGTGGCTGCTTAAACAGTCTAAATTGCTTCTCTCTGATCTCAGTTAAGTGTATGGCCATGAGAATCCGTGATCATACTGAAAATTCTTTCTCGTTTGTGTTTCCAGCAACACCATCTGAGCATGGATATAACTGATACAGCCATGGTGACTGAAAACACACCACAGAATACAAGTTACTGGGTGTTTGACAGAACATTTGGTATCAATATGGATTTCTTGATCACAAGCATTCTGAAAATCATCATTTCCCTGGTGTAGCTGGCAGGAAGTGCTGTGCTGCTCTATATCCTGACTTTTTGCATGCAGAGGAATGTTTCCTCTGTCTACATCCTCAACTTGGCAGGATCTGATAGTTTGTCTATCCATCCAGATATTATTATCCATAAATAATTTTGTCTCTTATTTCAAATTATACTTCAGCTTCATTCCAGAATTTATATTTATGATGTTTGTATTTCCCTATATTGCAAACTTGAGCATTCTTAGTGCCGTTAACACTGAACACTTTCTGTCTGTCCTACAGTCCATCTGGTATCGTTGCCACTGCCTTAAACACATGTCATCTGTCATGTGTGCCCTCATTCATGCTTCTGAGCATCCTGAGAATAGAGTTCACTGGCTATCTGTCTGGAGAATATGATATGCATTTTTGAAATATGATATACATTGCCACGTGGGTGATTTACACCTTCGTGCTTCTCTTTGGATCGAGTCTGACCAGATTGCTGTGTGGCTCCAGGAAGATGAAGCTGACCCATCTGTATATGACCATTGGACTCACAGTGCTGGTCTTCCTCCTCTGAAAGGAGCATCAGTAATTGCTCTTCTTCTGGATATCAATTACATATACTAAGAATACCAATTACTTATACAACTTAATGCCATTTCTAGTGACAAAGGCATTATCCTGTGTCAAAGCTGTTCTGATTCCATTGTTTATTTATTTGCTGGCTCATATAGGCAGCAGCAAAGGCAACAAAGGAGCCTTGAATTAATTTTCCAGAGTGGTTTGCAGAATCTTCCTGAGGAGAATGGAAGTCAAAGCAGCCTTCCTCAGGAGACCTGGAGATGTCAAGAAATTATCTTGTGTCCTAACTCAATTACCATGTGGACATAATTTTCAGATATTTTGTCATTGCATTTCAGATATCTGGCATTTCAACTTTTTAAAGCTGAATATTGTTTTATTATATAAATGAGTCACCATTTCTGTTCATGGTGTGTATATATAGGTAAAAAGTCTATTTATGTGTGGTGTTCACAGGGAATAAATTTTCAATTATCATTGTTATTTGACTGTTTTCAGGACATGTTTGTATTTCTAAAAGATAAATAATCAGAAGCAAAATCTAGTAAATGAGTTGGATATGTAACTCTAGGAGTAATTTCCAATGTGTTTTCTAGGGGTGGTTCAACATCTCTTTGTTACATCTATATGTGGTGTCAGTGATCTGGAGTTACTATTTCTCCATGAGTTGCTCTCTTTCACCAAATATCATTTCTTATGAAATAAACACTCAAGACAACGGAAACAAAAATGCACTAATGAAACCTCATCAAATCCAAACTTCTACACTCTAAAGAAACGTGGGCTAAAACAAAAAGATATCAACAGAATGGGAGAAAATAGTTGAATTCAAAACATCAGATAAAGAATTCCTGCCTGAGATACATAAAGCACAAAGGTTCACAGCAGAAAAGAATTCAAAATTCATATACAAAAGTAGAGAGAGAAAATGATAGGCACTTTTCTGGAGAAGACAGACAGATGACCAAAAGACACATGAAAAAATGCTTATCATCACTTATTATCAGGGAATCACATATGAACATGACAAAGTTATAAAATCTGAGAGCACTGTGACTAGCACACGTCAAAAACAAAAAACAAAACTGTGTGTGGGTTTTTGTTCCAAAACCATTGTTTAAATTACTACTTTTGTATTAAATCCTAAAGTCAAGGTTTATGGTGCATCCTTTTTATTTTTCTTGCTTTCAGAACTATGTAGGCCAAACAGAAAATTTAGCTTTTCATTTAAAAAAGAAACTGACAAAACTATTTCAGTTTCCTTGTAAATTTCAATTGCTCTTTGAAGAAGTGAATTCAACTCTTCCATTTTTGGATTGAGTCAATGTCTTTCTGATATTGAATTTTATGAGATTTTTAGATCATTGGTTATCAACTCCTTATGTGTATGATACACACTTTTAACCAACTGTAGTATTTATTTTCCACAAAACCACCAGGCTGTATTTTCTCCATCTCATTCTTTCAAAAGAGGATAAGAACGATCATTAATGGTCAAAGGCGGGTACAGAAACAACACCTAGATCTGGTTTCACGCTCAGGAGAGAATACTCTGACTCTTCCTTATGGTTTTGGTGCCCTGCATGATCAGAGAAATTTCTCTAGTAACAAACTATAAAAATGACCCCTCAAAATATAGTCTTGAGGGTGCAAAAAATACAGTAGAAATGGCATTTGCACCTCTATATTCGTTGCATCACTTTTCACAACAGCCAGAACCTGGAAACAAGTCAAGTGCCCAAGAACAGATGACTGGTTAAAGAAACTTTGGTATATATACACAATGCAGCTGTTAGAAAAGATGAAGTCATAAAATTTGTTTATGAGTGGATGGTCATGGTGAGTATCATGCTAAGTGAATCAAGTCATAACATAAGACTGACACCCAAGGACAATAGACACAAAGGCCAGGAATATTCTCCATAGTTAGAAGCCTGCATCATGAACTGGGGGAGAGGGCAGCTGAAACAGAGAAGAGACCACTAAGTCAATTATGGTTGGAGGGATAATTCTGGATGGGAGATGTGTGCTGAAATTAGGTAAAGGACAAAAAGTGATAGATTCTCAGCATCTATATTGCAAACCATGATGCCCAAACATGGAGAGAGAATATGGGGGAAATTACCTGCCATAGAGGCAGGGGAATGACAGATATAGGGAGTGGGGGATATTGAGGATATTGGTGGTGAAAAATGTGGACTGGTGGAGGGATGGGTGTTCGATCATCATATGACTGAAACTCAAACATGAAGTCCTTGTTATTGTATGTCAGGGTGATTCAATTAAAAAAAGAAAAATTATAGCAAAAAATATTAGCTTAGAAATCATTCCAAATTAATTTATTGCTATTTTTATACAGCTACACAGGAACTGATTGTTCACATAGATTGAATTTTATTCAGTGTGTTGGACACATTCGCTTTTGTGATGGTCACGGTCCTGGTCACGGTCCTCCCGTTGTTCACCGATTTGCTCGAGCAGGCCCAGTAACGTCTCCATCATGAGACTTGTTGTTACTGTGTTTGGCATATCAAATACATCATGGGTAGCTTGCCAGGCTCTGCTGTGCGGGCGAGATACTCTCGGTAGCTTGCCTGGCCCTCCGAGAGGGGCGGAGGAATCAAACTCGGGTGAGCCATGTTGGCCGCTTGTAAGGCAAACGCCCTACCACTGTGCTAATACTATAAATAATTCTACATGTGTAAATTTTGTACTATTTGTTTAGCACATGAACAAAAATATCTGTAAATCAACTAATACATAAGAAATGAAAGGAGGAAAATGCATGACATTTATATGTCATTATACATATTTTAAATGGTCCTACATGCCAATTCTGTCAAATTTCACTTCCATCAATAAAGTCTGAGAATGTCTCATCCCATATTGTTAACACACAGTAAAGGAAATGTTTTACACTTTTATTCTTCAGGGAAAATATACAATTGTGAATAATTACAATTATATTTAGGTCATTACAAATTATGATATTACACCATTTCTGGTGTTTATTCTAGGTTTATTTTGCATATAATTCAACTTTCCTTAAGAGTATTAGTATAATATTTAAAACTAAATTCAAATCCAATTTCTGAAAAATTCTAAATGTTCTGCCATACTCTAAGTATATATAAAGAAAAATGATTCCCTGCTTTAAACTGGAAAACAAAAAGATGTATACATGTTATTTAAATCAGTAATCATAGCCAAAAAATTTAGATGCAAACAGAAACTATGACCATTTGCTTTCACTTGAACTGTCTTCTGTGATCATTCAGTCTGGCTACTGAATGTAGGTGAACAACCTTGTCTGTCAAATAACAGTAAGACTCAAAGTTTTACTCCTTGACAATATTTTGCAGCTAAAGTGGGACAAAATCTGAATTTGAGACCAAAATCAGAGAACTCCAAGTCCAGTGCATTTTCACTGACATATATTTCTGTAAGGTCTCAGGAACATCACTGTATGATAAAATAGACTAAAGTATGTTGTTCACATACTCTACAAAAAAATTTTAGATGCAAAAGTGAACCAAACTGCTGCTTCTAGAAACAGGATCAGTAGATTATATATGAGTTGACAAATTCTGTGGCCAATTAAGGAGAAAATTATAAAGGAAACGCATGACTTACTCCCTTGATAATACAAAATTTAAACAAGTCAGATAGAGAATGAATCTCAGATAAGGAATGTGCACTTTATTCCTAATTATAAACCTTCACAAAGACAACTCACATTGCTTTTTGTTGCTGTTCAGGCACAAGGATGTCTGTGAGAGAATCCACAAAGAACCACTAGGAGGGAAGTTTACTGGATGAGGGTTGAGATGTACAAGGAGAGGTAGAGGTTAGATCTACTCTTGAGGCAAATCCCCAGAGTGGTCAGGACACCAAAGACATTGTGGTCTCATTTGATATCAGGTCTCTGAATTTGAACTCACAGGAGCTCTTGGGAAACTTGATAAGCCTCCCTTATCACCAACATCCATTATTTCTGAGGGCTTGTCTGAGGGGTAGAACACTTTCAAAACAAAGGTGAATCTCTTTAGACACTTCCTCTCAACAGGACTCATCTCATCACCTAAAGTAAGAACAAGAAGGAGGTAAGCTTATCAAGCCCATTTCCTAAGCCTTTTCTGTGTTTTTTGTCCTAAGGCATATTCATGAACTGCATACTGGGATCCACAGGAGTGAATCAAGAAAAGACACAAAGTCAGGGGTCAGTGAGATGGTACAGTAGTATTAGAGTATTTGCATTGCTCATTGCCTGCCTGTGTCACTTCAAACTCACAACCTGGCAGGCAGAAAGTATTTCAAATTGCTCTCCTCGTGATTTTTTAATATCTCATTTTCCTGGATGCAACAGAGTCAGAGGAAATAGGAATCCATCTCTAAGACATAGTGGTATTTCCTCCTGGATACATAATCAATGTAGAATATGCAAATGGGATTTGGTGATAAAGGCAGAAGATTCTGTCTTCTTTAGCACATTCACAGAAGTTTCTGTCTGGGACAATGTCTGCATGATGGATCTCTTATTCACAATATTTCATCACACTTTTTCCTTTATTAATTTTTCTTCTTATATCTCCATCTGTATAACTTATTTGGAATGATTTCTAAATGATCCATTATTGCATATAGCATGATTTGTATTAAAAATATGGTGGTATTTGTAATCATTTATAGATATTTAATTTTATAATTTTGTTGTGTTAATTATTTTGAATTTGGAAAAAAACAATAGCAACTGTGGTTAAAATGAACCTCAATAACTGAAACTGATGAGTCTTAAAGACCCAATGCCTCATTTTTGTGTATTACCCTTTGCAAAATAATTGTGTTAACACTGTGGTCATCTTTGCCATTTAGCAAGCATTCAGGGAAAGAAAAAAAAGGCAGGAGACAAGAAATTAATACACTACTTCTGCCCTCTTCAAAGCAGGTGCCCAACCATGACAGGGGCCCAATTACTTGGTACCATCCAGAATCAGGCAGCCTTGTTTCCAATAATATTTCTGAGAATAAAAAAAAAGTGGGTAATTGCAGTCCCTATAACCCTGATTCTTCATCAGATACTGCCCCATTTAGAGACATTTGATGGAAACTCCTCTCATTATAAATGATGAGCTAAAAACCTGGAATTCCTTAGGCATGGCTCTTGGATCAGGGTCTCTGTTGACCTATCCAGATCCCAAGTCATATTTTCTCCTTAATTTATATTTTTATGTATTAATAAGGCTATTACAATAAATAGTCAAAGTTAACTGTGCTACATGAGGAAATTATAATAATGAGCATTATTATAAACCACAACAAAGATATCACAACTGACATTTATATTCAGTGACATAAATTAATAGGATATGTACCCTAATGGGTGGAAATATGTTTGTACTTCACCCCTTCTCTTCAGGCCACCAAGAGTGCAAAACACAAGAGAGATTTGGTGGCTTATTCATCATCTCTCACTAGACAAGTGAGTCCTTCATTCACTGCCCTGGGTAGGAGGGGTGTCTTCTGACCACTTGAGTTTCCTTATTTGTAGAACAATGGTTGTCTTTTCCTAGCAGCCAAGGACTTGTGCCTTTGACAATTGTTTTGGGGATGCTTCAAATAACATCATTTGCTGCTAGCTATGTTGATGAATATTACTGTACATGAGGTTAGAAAGAGAATATATATACATATATATATTATCTGTCTCATATAAAGAAATATTGTAAGGGAATAACTAATGCCTAAGACAAACAGAAACTGAGAACTAGTTCAGTAGGAAATCCATGATGGTAAGAAGATAAGGGAGGAAAAAATGGAGCTCCAGGATAATGATGGAGGGATGTGGGTCTACAGTGGAATATGCTCTGCTGAAATGTTTTGTACATGAAAACTTACAGTAACAGTATTATCAAACAAAAAATTTTGATAACAGTATTATCAAAAAATATTATCAATCTAAAAAATCTAAAAAATTATCAATCTAAAAAATTATCAATCTAAAAAATTTCAAAACTGTTCATTAAACCCTTTCTTCTTATATTTTATGAATTTTTATTTGAAACTGTATAATCAAGACTATGAAAAAAATCCCTAATTACTTATATATCTCCTGGCAACTGTATAGAGTTCTTGACTTGTGTCTCACACTTCTTTACAAGTAGGAACCATTTCATTCTAGAAATGAAACTATAGTGTTGGTAAAGGAAAGGCATCTGACTCAGACCTGGAGATTCAGAACAGCATCATACCAATTATATGTGTATAACCACTCAAACCCTAGGTGCTTCCATTTTATTGTCTCTAGATGGAAAGGACAGTATTCACATAACATTTTTGTTTTTTTTTTTACATTAGTTTTGAATGGTTTCAATTACTTAGATATGAAGTTCAAGGGTTAAATTCATACCTCTACGTGGGTATCCCACTCACCCTACCCACCTACAGGATTTCAGTGTCATCCCACCACCAAAAATATCCTCTACTCAGCCCTCTTGTCCTCCTCTCAGAGTCACTAGTTTTGTTCTGCTAATTCAATTTTTTCTAAAGAAGATCAAGAGAGGTTTATCTTGAAAATTGTTAAACCAGCAGCTCTTCTTCACCTTGTTTGCCACCTATTCCCAAACTGAATTTCAGATTAGCATTT